ATTAGTTGTATTGTATTTACAGATTAGTTGTGACGTATTTACAGATTAGTTGTGACGTATTTACAGATTAGTTATGACGTATTTACAGATTAGTTGTGACGTATTTACAGATTAGTTATGACGTATTTACAGATTAGTTATGACGTATTTACAGATTAGTTGTGACGTATTTACAGATTAGTTATGACGTATTTACAGATTAGTTATGACGTATTTACAGATTAGTTATGACGTATTTAGATTAGTTGTGACGTATTTACAGATTAGTTATGACGTATTTAGATTAGTTGTGACGTATTTACAGATTAGTTATGATGTATTTACAGATTAGTTATAATATATTTACAGATTAGTTGTGACGTATTTACAGATTAGTTATGATGTATTTACAGATTAGTTATAATATATTTACAGATTAGTTGTGACGTATTTACAGATTAGTTATGATGTATTTACAGATTAGTTATAATATATTTACAGATTAGTTGTGACGTATTTACAGATTAGTTGTAATATATTTACAGATTAGTTGTAACATATTTACAGATTAGTTGTAATATATTTACAGATTAGTTGTAATATATTTACAGATTAGTTGTAACATATTTACAGATTAGTTGTAATGTATTTACAGATTAGTTGTAATATATTTACAGATTAGTTGTAATATATTTACAGATTAGTTGTAATATATTTACAGATTAGTTGTAATGTATTTACAGATTTGTTGTAATGTATTTAAAGATATTCAACAATCCCATTTTGTACAGTTTATTGTCTGATTCATCTGCCTGTCGTTTGAACTGTGTTTGGTGAAAGTAAATATAGTTTCCATGAGCTTTTAGCCAAGATTCTTGTTTTCTATTGATATCAAAGATGTCAATGTTCAACCGACAGATCTTAAGTTAACAGAAGTTAAAAGATATAGGAAATGGGAAATGCTGGTTTGGCATGGGGCTCARGAGGTTAAATGTTTGGTTGATTATCAGGGCTGCAGCTTTATCTGCAGGCAGGTCCAGCAGAGAGGCTTCACTCCAATGAGATACTGGCTTTAGTACCAAACAGTCTCTGCAGTATCTGTYTSARACAGATACTGCAGTTTGAAAAGACTAATAGTAACATGTCCAATAAATAAAAAGGTCTTATTGGATCACAGAAAAGACTCAATAAGACCTGTTAACCCAGGACTGGCTGAGACACGGGAGACCAGAATTAAGGTTCTGTGGAKCGACGAGAGGGCGATGAAGACGGGTGCTGTGGGAGGGGTGGGGGGTACTGTGAATACTTACATACATCCCATAGATGGTATTTTGGAGGTCATAGTTCAAGCCAGCTAGCTCGGCTGCATATGCATACTCGTTGAGGGAGTCCTTGAGGAGCTCCAGGTACAAATAGGCCATGTTACAATGCAATGGGTCCACATATGCAAACGGGCTGCAGAAAGAATCGGACGGGTCACAGAAAGCCTTTAAACAAAGCGTAGAGTTACTGGGCTTCATTCCTGTTTACCATCCATGAGGAAGAAACAAGAACACTGTTATAAACACGTTATTACACTTTACAAGAATGTAACAGACCTGATCTAATATCAGTTTATTAGGGGTGTAACGCTACATCAGACTAACAGCAGCTCTGCTCTCAGCTCAGCTCGAACCCTGAACCCAGCCAGGCTACAGAGGAGCTTTATTTCAGCTGCACGGATCCAGGATCTGGATCCAAACCTCACAGGTGAGGGCTGGAATGTAGGCGGAGCAGGAATAGACCGGGGCAACGTCCTCATCACTTTCAGCTACTTGAACTTTTCTGTTCGAGGCAGAAACTCGTCACCAACTTCACTGAAGGATTCCACGTTTTTCAGATTGAGAAATAATCTAAAAAGATCAACTTTAATGGTAATTTTTTATAATTTACTCTGGAGAATATTTACATAAATTGTACTTACAGCAGGTTTCTAACCAAACCAACCAGGCTACTGAGAGTTCTTCACAACACAATGTGTGCCTCGTTTATCCAGCCACACATTCATACAGACTCTCTGAAACTAATCTGAATAAATCGAGTCTAATCAGTGTTTTAAATCACATTAATATTAACTAACCCTGAAAACTCTGTATCCTGGCTTTAAAGATCAGGGACTGAATTCTGATTTTTGTGTACCATTACATCTCTAGAGGTCTGTTGACTAAAGACAACAATAAAATTCAGTGTATTCATATTTTAAACATTGATAAGATAAGATAAGATAAGATAAGAAAAGATAAGAAAAAAGATAAGATGAGATAAGATAAGATAAAAAAGATAAGATAAGATAAAAAGGATA